TGTGTGTGTGTGTGTGTCGGGGGGGGGGGGGTAAAGATTGAATCTTTATAGTTTTACTGGTTGAGTTTTCAGTCGATGGGCTTTTATTTATTTTTGAAATATATTTTTGTGTGCTTACCTGTGTTTTCAAGGATATTTGATAAATACAATTGTGGGTTTTGGCTTTTTCCTTGGATTAGGCATTATCATAAAGGTTTATGCTGGCAATCTTTTTGAGTTGGAATGCTATGAGCTTTTTCTTTGAATTTGCTTCTCGAATCAGATAATGCAATTGTGAAACTTATAACAGTCTTTCAAACTTTAAGATTTCCTGTAATGGTGATTCAGTATCCTTCCTATTCTTCCTCTCGAGCCGAGCGTCTTCCGGAAACAGCCTCTCTGCCCTCCAGGGTAGGGTTAAGGTCTGCGTACACATTACCCTCCCCAGACCCCACTTGTGGGATTCCACTGGGTGGTTGTTGTTGTTGTTGATTCAGTATCCTCTCTTTTACCCTTTTCCTGAAAAAGAAAAAGAATGTTGCCTTTGTCAGAATCGACATCTCTTGCTCATATGTGTAATTCTTTCTACGAGTGGTTGCGATAGTTGTTTCAAGCACTTTGAAATTTATGTGTTTAGACTGTTGTGAAATGGAGCATGAGACTTGTCATACACTCAGGTGAATTTTATTCCAGGAGGATGGATTTAGAGACTGAAAATAAATCAAATCATGATATGGTCTTCGACTTATGACTTGCGTCCCTCGGGCGGATGCAGCACACCAAAAGCGGGTTCATTGTATTTTCTATGCTAAACATGGTGTTATATGTGAAAATCTACTAAATTTTAACAAATATTTGATCTAGACCTATAATCTTAAAAGTAAAATGAGTTCACGAACCCATAATTAGATCTAAACTCAAAGTTATATGTCAAAATCTACTAAATTTTCAACAAATTTTAGATCTAAATCCATAATTTATAAAGTAAAATGATTCATTGCTAAGAACTTTACTGGTTGAACCCATCAAGTTTAATCCTGGATCCGCCTCTGGTCTCTTACCTACTTTCTCTTTTCCCTTAAAACCAAAGTGGAAAAGATAAATCAAGACTGTATCAACTGGTGAACGTCACGCGTTCCGATTAGCATCTATCTGTGACTTTTCTTGCTTACAATTTAGCTCATTGATACACTGGTATAATCACAACTCCTTGTCTATAATGTCAAATATTTTGATAGATAATGTTTTATGTGTTCTGCTCCAGATGTCTTTTCCTAGACAGCTTAAATGATAGTGACAACAGAAAATTCCTGCGACCATGGATTGGTCATGTGACTCATATCATATCCATTTACCCATTCATGTGCATGCAATTACACCATCCTAACTCCTTGGAGGACAAGAGCAGATGCTATTTCAGAAATTACTAGTTCTAAAATTTATTTCTAAAATATGAGCAAATCGTCACAGAAACTGATAAGTGCTACTAGATTCATATAATTAACAAAAGATGTTTCATTATTTTTGATGGGTTTGAGATAACTATTTTGGCAGCAATATTTTCAAGTGAGCACTCATTGTCATTTATTTATCTATTATGGCAGCAAATCTTTCAATTAGTGCTCAGGGCGTATTCTTATTGAATTTTAACTATGCTTGAATTTGTATATTATCTTGCAGACTATTTAAATTTCTCGGTTTGTCCTATTGATCACTAAACTTTGTCCTCTGCAGATATCTGGAGTTGTTTTGCTTCAGCTTTGGACTGCTACCTTCCTTCATGATGCAAGTTGGCTGAAGATATTGATAGTAGCCTACTTTTTCGGCTCTTTTCTAAACCACAATCTCTTCTTGGCTATTCATGAACTAAGTCATAACCTTGCTTTCTCTACTCCAGTCTACAACCGTTGGCTTGGAATATTTGCCAACCTTCCCGTGGGTGTGCCAATGTCTGTCACTTTCCAAAAGTATCACCTTGAGCACCATCGCTTCCAAGGAGTTGATGGAATTGACATGGACATCCCGAGCCTTGCTGAGGCCCATGTCGTCAAAAATGTTCTTGCAAAATCTATATGGGTTATTCTCCAACTTTTCTTTTATGCTTTCCGGCCACTTTTTCTTAAACCTAAACCACCTGGCATATGGGAGTTCATTAATTTGATTATCCAGCTATCCCTGGATGGAGCTATGGTTTACTTCTGGGGCTGGAAATCACTCGCTTATCTAATCCTATCTACTTTTGTTGGGGGCGGGATGCACCCAATGGCTGGTCACTTCATCTCCGAGCATTATGTCTTCAATCCTGAGCAGGAGACATACTCTTATTACGGTCCCCTTAACCTTATGACTTGGAGCGTAGGATACCACAACGAGCACCATGACTTTCCCAGAATTCCCGGAAGCAAACTCTACAAGGTGAAGGAGATCGCACCAGAATATTATGAAAACTTAGATTCTTACAAATCTTGGAGCCAGGTCATCTACATGTACATAATGGATCGAACAGTTGGACCTTTCAGCAGAATGAAGAGAAAGCTGTCAACGAAGGCAAACAAGTCCGAATAGTTGCAGTGGTAGTCGTTGATTCCTTGCTAATACTTTCAGTCTTACTATGTGATATTTCTTGTCTATTTTGATTCTTGTAACAATATGATATAGTTCCGGCATCATGTGCAATAGAGTTGATGTAGCAGTCACTAAGTTCATCTTTAATCATGTATAATATCCTTTGTTATGGGATTTCCATGTTATTTATTTTACTGCATATAGCCTCTTTAATGGGAAATAAAGGGGAAAAGAATGACACATCTGAAGCCTTGGATATGCCTAGTGTCTCCTCTTGGAAATATATGAACATAACACTAACAGTGTGTTGCCCTTGCTTTCCTAATCGGAGAGTCTAGTGGAAACAACCTCTGTATCTTTACGAGGTACAGGGAAGGTCTGCGTATGCACTACCCTTCCTAGACCCCACAATGTGGGATTATTTTGGGTATGTTATTGTTGTTGGTACTAACAATGAGTTGCCAGCTTATACTCCCTTGTTATATTATGCCGGTGTTTGGCTGGGTACGGAGTTTCTGGAAGAAAGTAAGATTATTAGAAGTTGTAATCTTAAACGTGTTATGACACTTGTATCTAAACTTGAAATGTTTCCAATTATAGGAAAGATGTCATTCTTTTATTAATAGATGAATAAGGAGAGGGTGTTGCATAAAGTGGAACACCACTTTAATTTGTGCCTCCTTTGCAAGTTTTAGATATGTTGAGTATTTAAACTAATAAAGAGTATTGTCTATGGCTCGCACTTTGTAAATAAGGTAAGAATTTCAACCCCATGTGAGTGGCATGTCACTAACATGAATATCAATTCTACTGATGGATATATAAGAACAAGGCCAAAAATAGTACCTTTTTTTCCTAAACTCAGAAAATATTATTTTATTTGTTAAAAAAATTATTAAACTGAACATTAATAAGTTATAGAAATATTCAAATGATACATGCAAAACTTTATATTTTTACATTAAGCTTTGTTAAATTGTCTAATTTAATTATCAAATCTTCAATAAAATTAGTGAACGTCATTTAGTTATAAGCATTAGCTTCTCCATCGTCTAGTCCATCGTTAAGTGAAATCAGAGCAAAGTTTTTCCTTGGTCTAATGACCAAAACAACGAAAATAACATTGTTTTGTAATCATAGAATCATGGCCAAAAAAAAAAATTTGCTCAATTTCATCAAGAGATGTGTGGTTTATGAATAATTTGCAAGGATCGTAACAAAATTAACTAGCAATTCGGGATAATAATTGGCTGATCCTGTCGAAGTTGGCAAATGAGATTACATTTTTAGCTACGTAGTACAAAAAGCTCATAACATGAAACACTGGTCTATGATTGTTAAATTTTAAATTTCTTGCCAATTTTCCAAAAAGACCAAAAATTACTACTGCATCTAATATGCTGTGACAAAACTTAGAATCATGCTAGTAATCCTAGTAAATAAGAAAAATGCATTCTTTCCAAATACATCTATTGTTAGATTCCCAGTTATCTTAACTGTTAGATCCACCGCTGCTATGTGGAAGTCCCAGGTACATCATCAAAATCTATTGTTAGATTCCCAGTTATCGCAACTGTTAGATCCACTGCTGCTACGCGGAAGTCCCAGGTACATCATCAATGAGTTGGCTGGATTCAAGGGGTGGTATTCTTTTAACAGCAGGCATGGCCGGCTTCTCTTTGGGAGGAGGCTTGAGAGGCTTGCTCGGATGGATTTGATCGACTTTTTGGGAAGGAACATCAAACTGCACAACCAACAACAAAGCCATTGAATAAGAAACTAGAAATGTATAATGCAATAACATGCAATGCAGCACAAAATGCTAAGACGGTTGCAGATGAAACGAACAATCATCCGGTCAATAATTAGATCAAATCGCTTGTAATGTAATGTATCCATAACAACGGTATACATATTTGATATGCATTCTTCAACAACAACAACAACAAACCCAGTGTAATCCCACAAGTGGGGTCTAGGAAGGATAGTGTGTACGCAGACCTTTAAGAAGGCAGAGAGGTTGTTTCCGGTAGACCCTCGGTTCAGAAAAGATAAAAAGGAAGGAGCAACAACACCAGCCAACCAATCAGAAAACAGAAGCGAAAGAAACAACAAGTAATTGATATAAATTCTTCAAAGACAGAAAATAAAAGTACTCAAATCATATCCACATAAAGTTGCTTTAAGAATTTATCTTTTTTTTCTTGGTACTACTTATTTCTTCCTAGTCCTCACAAACAGGGGCAGCACAGAGTAAGCCTGAGGTGCTACTTTCACTTAGATCCTTTTTCGATAACGACACTTACTCCACCATATCCATGCTTCTAAATACCTTGAATTTCACTCATTATCTGCAAGCATACTTTTGAGAAGAAAAGAAGGATCAGTACTCTATAACTTTTCAAGCAGCAAGCTTCCGGAAACATGTCCAACAAACCCTATGATAGGGAAAAGAGCAGCAAAATGCTATCTTTTCAGTATCTTGATTTGAGAAATTACAGCTATTTTCTCCACTGACATAAGGGTCTCATGATCACTGGTCACGAAACAAGTTACAACAAGGTATTGTATCAGAACATATTATTATCTCGACCCAGTTTAATTTCTTTTACAATTACTTAGATAATTCAGTTAGTGCAACTACTTAGGAAATAAGCTCCCAAAGCTTATGCCAATAACGCAAACTGACCTTGTATCCGCAGCCAGCTACACAAGCATGAAAGCATTCCTGCGTGCAATAAAGAAGATTAAATGTCACTTATGTGCCAAAAAAGAAGTTTATGCAATTCACATTTTTTGTTTGAAAATTATACTCCAGAAACAAACAGATATACGATATTCCAATAATAAAACAACAACTACTATGCCTCAGTCCCAAACGGTATTCCAATAATGATGGAACAATTCCTTTCCTCTTTGGATAAGAATTCAGTCATTTTTCTCCAGAGACCTCTTTGTGCACATTCGAATAACTGCTAGCAATCATTTTCAACAACTCATCACTTATACTTTGTCTGCACAAAGTGAGCTCAAGAGGCTAACTCAATAGATGATAATGGAAACTAAAGAGTAGAACTCAACCCCTTAGCCTTTTTTTCTTTTCTTTTTTTCTCTCTCGATAAGTTCCTGTTTATGAGTCTAAACAATAAGCGTATTGTATTTTGTTGGTGCATCACTTACTCTTTCCTATAATGCAGATTCAGAAGCTAAAAGACAAAAAGAAGAGAAACCGTAGAGAAACAACCAACTTCAATGCAGAAATCAACTATTGAAATTCTAACTATTACAATACCTAAGGAAATCAAATTAACAAACTAAATAACAAGAGGTATTAAATCATCAATTGCTTAGCCAGTCCCTCCTCAACAAGTCAATTCAGCTGAAAAAAACCAATGTTGCTCGGACTCTCCAAAATCGTCGGGTGCTTGTCGGATCCTCCAAAAATAAAATAGTATTTTAGGAGGATCCGACACGGGTGTGGCAGCATTTTGAGAGTCCGCACAACATAGGATAGAACCGATGACTGATCATACTAGATATAGGTAATTAACTTTCATGACATGAAAAAGTAACTTTTAAGTTGGCTTACGAAATAGCAGTTACTGCCAAATTAAGAGGGATCTAAGCCCTCCTTTCTTAACCTCATAACCAGATAGTCAAGATACTGATCCAGGGATCCATGAACGCTATATTTTGATGAAGTCATGAACACTTATATTAACATATGAAGCAAAGGCATCCACAACTGCTCTAGAAGCTCCCTTGATTTTTTAGAAGCTCAAAAAATACAACCTTGTTTTGTCTGTCTTTTGCTACATACAATTTGGCAATTGGTAAGATTATGAAGAATACTATTGAGAGTGTTGACGTTCAATCCAGATCTTGTACAGATGGAAAATTGAATTTGAACTACGATTGACAAAATTCTTCGTGATACAAATGACATTGTTAGAAACATCACATTTTGAGAACTGTGAAAGAACAACCAATGAAGATAATAAGAAGGGTGGGGAGACCTCAGAGCAGCTGGCAGCACCAGGGGATCGATCAATGTAAGCACTCCACTGTTGATCCTTCAGAACTGGATTTTTATAGCATATTTCCTCACATTCTGACAAACCTGCATATAGTTATTCATTCTTCTAGTGTAGCTTGGACCAATAGATAAGCCTCATTAAGGTCTCAAGTTTAAAAAATAAGACATTTCCTGAGCATTAGTAATAGATATATGCAACATCTCGAGATTAAATAATTTAATTTGAACTCCAAAGGGGAGCCACATTATGGCCATTCCCTGAACTTGAGGAACCATGAATATCAACTTACGCTGTTTGTCTCGAGGTTAAATAACTTAAGCTAGCCATATAAGAGAACAACTACATGGGCGTTCTACAAAGTTGAGGCATGGTTTTCCACGTTCATAACTAGATAGTATTGGGCTGCAGTGGCGTATGCAGAATTTTCTTACGCGTTGTCGACATCAAAGAAGTGAACAAATGAACAAATTACTGTAACGACATCATATATAAAAAAAAGTACACAATTCGAATCCTATTAAGAAAACATAATTCAAGTACATTGCTACAACTCTCCTCAGCGAGTTTTCATTTGAAATATATCTATAATAGTCTCACTAGAAATAATATTAAATTCTTCATTTTTTATATAAGACACCAAACAATCACTCAAAAACTCATCATTCATTTGATTCCGCAAATAGGCCTTAATCTACTTCATCATCGAGAAATAAGATGAAAGAAAAAAGAAATAGTAAAACAACTTACAATGGAAACAATAGCACCTTAGAAGGGAATTTATTTTTCTTTGGAATGTGTGATATTGACTCTCGACCTACTGTTTTAGTATGAACTTAACATCTAAGAGGTCAATAGTTCAAGCCCCACTTATATGTACAGAAATTTTAAAACACAACGATGCATCTGCCGATGTTCGAACCCATGGCCCTCTTATTAAACTAAGGCACTTGACCAGCAGAGCCAAGGAGCTCTACCTAGTGATGTCATTTTATCTTATTTAGCCTATGTTTTGTTTTTGCATATTATTATATACATATATCGTGAAAATTTCCGACAAAGCGGTGTCGGTTAACACCACGTAAGCGAACGTGCATCTGCCCTGCTGGGATGTAACCCATAATTACATATCATCTTGCGCAATATAACAAAATTGCTATTCACTAGAGCAGGATCACTGCCATGTGTAAGTGTCTTTACAGGCAACATAGTTCCTCATCACAATGGTCAGACAGCAAGATAAAGAGAGCAGGCAACGTAACTATTCACCAGGGTTATCCAGAAACCAACAACATCCATAGCATGGAAGCTTGTAACTTACATTCATCCCATGACTCGCCATCAGCATCACATCCTTTTTTGCAGAAAACTCTCCCTTCAAAAATTCAGACATAGCAAAATTGTGATATATCCGAGCTTATTCATGCCAAGAAACAAATTACTACAAGAATAAGTCGACACTAAAACATTCGAAATAAAATTAAAGTGGTATAATATTTTGTCAAAGAAAATATATCTTAGAGAATTGTTTCGTAACGAAATTACAAATAGATGGACATAAAGATCGCAAGCTAAAAAAGGCCGGAGTGATTGTTGTTGAAGTATTGGGTTTTACTAGCTACCCTCCTTTTCCATCTACTCCATAGACAACAGACTTATTATTCAGTAGAATTATCATGCTTTCAATTTCTGGATGTCTATGACATGCAATACTTCCAAAGAAGAGCAAATTCCAAGTATGTTTATATTTGTCCAACTAGCATTGAGCCAGAACTTGCAACCAGTGTTGTAAAGGTCATTTTATATAAGGATCCAAAATCTGAGAGCCTCCACTCAACGTAATAAAAAAAGAAAGAATTTAGATACTTGAATAAGAACCTGCTAATGCATCTTATCCATTCACAACTAGATATTGTTAAGCTACCTATGGTGGCCTTTAATTGCAGTGACAACTTAAACAAAGAGAACAGACCAATGACAAATAGATGATCGTTAGGAAAATAAGACCTTCTAATTTTCCATACTTAGAGGAACTTGACATTTTTTAAGACCTTATTGACCGCTCCTGTTGGCAGTTATCTTAAAATTCTTTAAAGAGTTCTTACTTTACCAACTTATCCTTCTCAAGAGAAGAGAGGTAGATGATTAAAAATCTCAATGTAGAGGATTTTCTTTCCCTTTTCTGCTTAACTAACACATTTTTGAATGCTCAACCAACACACTCTTTCTATTATTTTAGTCCAATCACACACCTTAGGGCATCCTCAAAATTAACATGGCAACATCACCAACTTTAACACCAAATGGTTAGATCCATATACTGATTATCCATATCTAAGAGAAAACTACAATTTTAGAAACTATGGGAAGTTTCTAGAATTTTAACAAACTATAAAGTGAAGAAATATAGATCTACCATAAATTATTGCTGACTATTCAGAGTAGCTAGATTGGCTCAAAATCTTATCACTTGAAAACTCAGTAAGCTAACCATAAATTGCACAAAAGGGAATGTGTGCAATTCACTTCATTGTAAGTAATGAGTTACACCAAACACGCTTATGATGGTAAACCCAGCCCAGTCAGCAGTAGTCTAAGTTTCCCGGACTATGAAGGTAGAATAGGCTTGGTAAGAGTTGGAAGGATTCAAATAAAACATCATGCCTTAGAAATCCAACCAAATGCACAGGCCTAGAAGAATGCTTAGAATTTACTTCATTGTAAGTAATGAGTTAGGTGTAAAGTCTGCGTACACACTACTCTCCCCAGAACCCACTTGTGAGATTACACTGGGTTTGTTGTTGTTGTTGTTGTAAGTAATGAGTTACGCCAAACAAGCCAATGGATTATGATGGTAAACCGGGCCCAGTCAGCAGTAGTCTGAGTTTCCCAGTTTGTAAGGTAGATCGGGTTTGGCAAGAGCCGAAAGGAATACAAATGAGAAAGAAACGTCACGCCACAGAAATTCAACCAAACACACAGTCCAACCAAAACCTGTTTGCAAGGTATAATTAGGATAGAAGAGAAATAACACCCTAATGACGCCAAGTTGAAAATTTTCCTCCAGGCACTAATACTTTCTTCCTCTTCCTTCAATAGCCAGACACAGTTGAAAACAGCCTAACGCAATGCGCTAAGCTATAATGCTATATCATGCATAAAATGTCGGATGGATGCATATATTCAACAATCACTCAAATTCATACTAACCCGAAAAGCAATTCATCACAGTCTATAGGGCTTAGATGCATTTTGATTAAAGAAAACCTCTTAATTTGGTACCAGCCGCTAATAAACAATGTAATCAATTTGAAAGGCCACCATAAAGCTCTAAAGATACCGACTTTGTCTGTTGTTTTATGGATTTAAGTTAAATGCAATGAAACTTTTTACACCATCATTGCATTTTAATTTATTATAGCAAGTTACTTATCAATCAATACTCATTAAATAGAGTGACCTACATATAGCTTTTAAGTGATCGACCGCGCATAAAACTTCAACTCTTTTTTAATTATTTCTTGAACAATTAGTAGGGAAAACTAACATAAAAATTCGGGCTTTACATAAAATTCCCAAAATCCAATAGCAAATGGCCACTATTTTCCTCCGATCAAACAAAAGTAAAATGAAGATTATTCTTGTTTTGATAGCACACATTAACATAGTATAAAATTCATACATAGAGCAAATGCATTAAGAATTTAAAGAAAAATATCTACAAGAGTGAGAAGAAAGTAATTACAAGGGATTTGCATGAGAGCAGCGTATTTATGGGTGCACTGATTGTTACACGGCGGTGCCCATTGCTGCGGAATCATCTCTTTTCACAGCTAAAAATTATAACCCTCGCCTTTCCTGCTCTTTTTTTTTATTGCGTCAAGAAGGAGATGGAGTTATGGAAAAAGCTAGGAGAGGAAAAATAAAGGAGGAAGGAAGAGATGGTCGAAAATAGAAATGGGGGCACAACGGTTACTTCGAAATATATGATCGCTGCTTGTCCCTCGGGTTTTTGTTTTCTCTTCTATCCCATGTAATCAATTAATCTGGATTCACATCCAATTTTATATAATCAAACATTTTTATAACAATATCATTTGTTTCAATATATTTTACTCCCTCCGTTTCAATTTACGTGAACCTATTTCCTTTCTAGTTCGTGCCAAAAAGAATGACTCATTTGCTTATTTGGAAATATTTTACCTTTATGCGTAATTTATAGCTGCTTGACCAAAAAGTATGAATCTTTGGTTAAACTAATTAATTTAATATATATAAGAGGTTAGTCCTAGTTAAACGTAATAACTTCAAATCTAAAATCAGCCTACGTGGATCATGTAGAGCAGTGTTGGAACAGATTTAACGTAACGTATATTAAATGTTCAAGGTAATAATGGGATGAGAATAACAAGCATTAAATAACAATAAAATGGCACTAAAAGTAAATAAGGAGAATGACTACCCAATATTGAATGGGGTGGATGATTCTTCTTTCTCACAATGATGAATGACAAATAACTATGAGATTATTGGAGACATTCTCGGATCTGACGTGGAAAGTATAGAGTAATCAATAAAACGAATCTCTTTTAGAAAGGTGACGCTTGTATTTATCTAGAGAGTCTACTTTTCAAGAGAGTTCATATTAAAATGAATAATACATGCCTTTCAGCTTATCTCTCTTCCTATTTATATGGGACATGCCCCTAATCAACCCTAAAAGTACAAGTACAGAGAATATTCAGCGGATTATTCCTCTAAAGATCCTATTACAAAACTAGCCGTTACTGTTGCTCTTGCCATTTGACCTCGGCCATGATTGATTGCTCGGTGATGAATCCATCATTCATTAGTCGACCTCGGCTAAATTACTTCTAGAAATACCTCTTCATGCCGAATATCATTAGTCAGATTTTGACCCATACAGTTAGTCCCTCCGCTTATCGAGGTCGTATCTCGGACGACCTCGATGAGTGGACATCGCTAGTCGTAGTTGAGAGCTTTAGGTGGGCAGGCCGAGCAGTAACACTCATGGCGAGGTGATAACGTGGCGCTTCGTTAGCCATAACTTACCGTTACGTCGGTTCAGAATGACGTCATGACATCATGCGTCATTATTACGCATTTTTCCGACGCGTTACGTCGTTTCCCGCACCTCTGCTATTTCGATATTTGTGCAGTGAAGATTTGTATTTCCGATTAAGGTGCCTGGATTTCTTTTAAATAGGGATAGAAAACCCTCTATTTGATCCTTTGTGTTTCCGAGCATTCGAACCTCTACATCTTTCTTTCTTCTTCCCATTGCTGTTGCTTTCTTTACATCCTTGTTTTTTCCTGGTTTCAGCAACTTCTGCTACCCATACCTCTTTTATACTTGCATTATCTTCTTATATAAACAACTAAAGATGGCTAATGCATCTTCTTCTTCCGGGAGGACATCTGATCCGGTCCCACTGGCAGTGAGCATGCCCCCTCATGCCGATGGAGCTGCCATTATTGCAGGGGATGAGAGCTTCCCTACGGCGGAGGAAATAATTCCTCGTAGTGAAAAAGCTAGGTCTGATTTTTCGAAGTTGTCAGAGGATGACCCCGAAATTTCGGAGTCGTTGATGACAGAGGCGGCTCTCACCGAGTTTAGGGCCAAATTCAAAATTCCCGCCCACATAAACCTGATCCTTGCTGGGCACGACGTGGTGAAAAATACACCGACCAGGGTACTGCGCCTTCTACGCGTACCCCTTCCGTGTGGGCTATTCTTTTCCTATTCTTCCCCTGGCCGAAGAATTTTGCCGCTATTACCGTGTGTGCGCGGCCCAACTTTCCCCCTACATCTACAAGCTAATTCGCATGGTCTCGAAATTTGCAGAATTAGCTGGGGTCAAGGTGACACTCCGCCACCTGATGTATCTTTTTACCACAAATTTTCACAAGGGAACGATGTTACACCTCTGCCACCGAGGCAGCAAATGCCTAGTGGTTAAAATGGATGATAAGGCCAACCGCCAGTTCTGGCTCAATTACTTCTACGTTCGAACCGAAGACGTAGTGATTAATGCAAGCGGGTTCCCTGAACTTTGGAACTACGCCCGTAAGTACCCTTTTCCCTTCATTACACTTTTTGCTGATCGATTTCGTTATATTGACTCTAATCTTCGCGCATCCGAGGACGATCCCCCTCCTTTGGTCGAGGACATTCACGACTGGGTTAGTCGGATCCTTCCTCACATGGTGGGTATCCGTGAGTGGTCGGCCTTCCGCGAGAACTTCGGACCTAAGCCACCTGGTAAGTCTGTTTACCTCAGATCTTTGTCTTTTTGATTGTATCTTTGCGTGTACTGATTTTGTTCTTTTGTTTTTTCTTCATCACAGAGAGGTTCGAGGAGGTCGAGGGCTCCTACTCCCGCGTTCCGACAAGTGACTATTGCGATGGGATCTACCTCGACTACGACTGTAGTTGGGCCTACCCGGTCATCTGCCTTGGCTCGGCCTTTGATCTCAGCTAGACCAACTCGACCAGTGGCAGCTCCAATACCTGGGAATCCGCCCCTTAATGTGTTGTATTTGGTTGACGAGTCATCCCAGAGCGAGGAGGACTTAGTTCCGCTCAAGATAAGGCCGGTAGATATCGGCGACGGGATAGTTAGAGCGGTGGACCCTACAAGGAGCGACCGTGAGCCGACCGTGGCTATGCTAGAGGGCGACGCGAGTCTATCAATCGAAACTCCGCTGCCTACGGGGGTTGTGGAAGATGTTCCTTTACCCGAGGTTGCGGTTGAAGGAGGCCATTTGAGGCTGCGGACACCGTGCTGAGAAACGAGCTATCATCCTCGGGGCCGGTCGGCATTCTTTCGTCGATCGAGGAGAGAGGAAAGGGCATCGTGGAGGACGGTTATGAAACCGGTTCTGACATTGATCCCGGGGAGGTGCGAAGGTTCAATGAAGGATTCACTCGAGTGGAGGTGAGGTTGGAAGGGTCTTCTCGTACCAATGTGATCCCCATTGGACCGTGACCTGTTGGTGAACACAAAGGGCAGGACCCTAGCGACGTTCAATGATGCCGCCCTGTCGTCGGGCATAGCCGGCCTCGCCATAAGGGTAAGTTTTCCGATCTTCCTAGTTTATATGCCTTGCATCTTTTTTTTCTCTTTTTTTTTAGACTGACTTTCTTTCTTTTTTGCTCTCTTTTTTATAGACCATTATCTTGGAGATTGAGAGTGCTCGCCGAGAGGAGAGCCGCAGAGCTACTTTCAAGGAAATAGAAAGGAAGTACCGTGAGTACCGCAACAAGCACCGCAAGATCTGCATGCGGTTCGATAGGAGTGGCAATTCCCAAGATATCAGAGACGAGCTGAAGCAGAAAGATGATGAGCTTGTGAAAGTCATCAGTAAATGTAGCAAGCTTGAGGAGGCACTTAGGGACAAAGAGAAGAGCTCGAAGTAAGCAAGGGAGTTGAGGTTGAGTGTGCGGATCTTCAGACCCAAGTGGTATCTCTACGGGCCGAGCTCGAGCAATGTTCGATCAGGGCTGACGCTTTGAGTGATGAAGTTGTCGAGAAGACGACGGAATTGGAGAAGGCCGAGTTGGCTCGGTTGGTGGCTTTGGCAAAGGTGGTGGCATTGGAGGATGCCATCCGCGTCCTTCGGTCTGAACGGACGAATGATATGGAGATGGCCATGCTTAGGGAGGCAAGGCTTGACGAGCATATTGGGGGGCTGGAGAAAGAGGTCTCGAACCTTGGTGATCAAATCGCTGCTCTCGAGGCCGAGAGGATGCAGTTGTTAGCTCAGCCGTCCTCCTCTCACACTTTTGCTTACCCCGATGTTCCGCGGGATTTGTATGAGAAGTGGATCCACGCCAGCCCATCTAGACATATTCAAGAATTTGATGACGGCGGGGAGAGTTCTTAAGGCTGATTTTGAGGATGCTCGTGCTAAGGCACGTGCAGCTTGGGTCGCCTGTGGTTATGACCCTGCTACACCGGGGACTGGTGATGGCGAAGAGGATTTGGACGGTATTGAACAAGGTGCCTGGTACGAGGACGCATACTCTGATTTCAAGGGTGATGGTGGAGAGGCGCTTCTGAGTAGTTATTCCTTTGTAATTTTTGTGCATACTTTTGTCGGTGTCTGTTTAGCCTTTGTAAAGAATATTTTTGGAGTATGAAATGTTATTTTGTTTGTTTCTGCACCTTTTCTCTGTTTGGTCTTGTATGCTTCTTTCCTTAATTCTGTCGTTTAGCCGTTTTTAGCAGCAGAAGCTCGGTTCGTACGTTGATCGAGTTTGAATGCCGAACTAGGTAGTCGTGACCTGGGTCCAATAAGTGTTTTTGAACGAAGTCAAACATTGCCGGAGCTTAATTTGAAACGTAACTTAGTTGATATAGGCAAGGTCGAACGTAACCTAAACCCAACAATGACTGAGGGTTGATCTGAACGAAACCGACTGTGAATTCGAACGAGGTCAAATGTCTTTTAATTCGATCGAGGTCGAATGTGTTTTAATTCGAATGAGGTCGAATGTTTAGTTAATTCGAACGAGGTCGAATGTGAGTTAATTCGAACGAGGTAAAATGTTTAGTTAATTCGAACGAGGTCGAATATGAATTAATTCAAACGAGGTCGAATGTTTAGTTAATTCGAACGAGGTCGAATGTTTAGTTAATTCGAACGAGGTCGAATGTGAGTTAATTCAAACGAGGTCAAATGTGACTTTTGTTTAATCGATGCAGCGTTGTTTTGGCAAAAACATGGGCGAACTTCATGTACTTGTGTTGTGCTTATATATATTGGAGAAATTTACATGTTTTCGAGCCGGCATTCAGTCCCGGTCTATCTAGTCCCTTCATTGGTCGACCTGGAGAAGTATTGAGAGGTTGGGCAATGAACTAATTGGTCTGCGTCCTCATCAATTCATACTTTAGCTAGAAATATCCTCCTTGTCGCCTCATTTTAAAAATCTTCCCAAGAAAACCCAATGGGACAAAACTCAAGTGAGGGAAAAAGAGTGCGGCTTGGAGAACATTTTTCCTTAGAAGTTAAAGTAC